GGGGGGGGGGGGGAGAGAAAGGACCGTACAGGCATAAAAGTAAAATCCACCAAAAAGCATACAGAAAGAACTAAGGACTCTAGATTGCCTGCAATTCTAGTTCAGATTAAAATTATCTATCTGCGGGTCAAGAAAGTTAACCTAACATCAGACAGCATAGTGTATACCATATTTAATATCATAGAGAAAGTTTCTGGAAGTTTTAGTCCAAGAACATCTGGGGACCCAAGGTTGGGAACCACCGGTTGAGCATATAGACTGTGTGTTATGCAGACCTTTGTGGGAAAATAATCTGGGAAATCCCAGAGGACCAAATTTGGCCCTAGCAGGGCCTGATTCTGCCCTATATGGCCTGATATTTCCCACTAATGTAGGGATCATTGTTCTGTCCAGTGAGAGAGAAGTCATAGGAGGACATTTCTGTGTCACCTTCAAGCCACCTTTTCTGTGGCTGTTGTTGAGGTTCAGAAATTAAAGTGTCCCGGATGAGATGCAGCAGCATTTCATATTTTGGCACCCAGGAATAAATGAGAAGAAAAGCAAGCACGTTTATTGTACCATGCAGTGGAGGGGTGGGAGTGGGGATACACATTGTAGAGGGCAGAGGTTGCCATTGTTCCACCTAACAAAAGTTGCTAGATACGCATCTTGAGGCTTAGATTATTTTTCTTATTAGCATATCTATTGCTTTTAGCCTGGAGATCAGTTTTTCATGTTTAGTGTTTAAAGTGGAATCGAATTGCAAACTAGCAGTTAACTCTAATGCCATAAAGAAGATGGATGGACCTGTCACTCGGGAGCTATAAAAATGGGAAATTTGCAAGTACTCTTTTAATTCGCAGTTTACAGCTGTACAGCATTAAGAAGCCAGGTTCTCCCTCCGCAGGAGAGGAGGGGGATAGATACAGTTGGGTTAGTTCGTTTATTGTCCTCTGTAAATCCACCTCTGAGATAACCGAGGCACATGATGAAGTGTCGGAAAGTGGCTAGGCTTCTCTATAATTTCAACGAAGCATGTAAATCCTAGAGGAATGGATTTTCCGAAGGTCTTGAAGGTGGAGTAGACTCTAGGTCACATTCAGGGTGCTTGAGAGTTGATAAAATAGAGTTAAAAGGCCACGAAGAGCAAATAATAGCCAGCATCAGAGTTAATAGATTCAAACGGGACCTGTAACAAAATATTGCAGTATTTCTGGTACAATCTGATGAGACAGATTGCTCAAAGTTAATTGCATTCCACCCCCACTCATGTATGTTATTAGAGAGCTGGTCAAGATAATGTCTTCTTTTAGCCCCAGCAACTGGGGTTCTTCTGTGCACTCCCAAACTGACCCCACATTATTCTATAAAATCTGAAGGGTTGTTTATACCCTTTTGTACCTCTGCATCACAAGTCCACCAAGTAGATAAGAAACAAAGTTTGAAAAAAATAGATGTTTTTAAAGAATACAATTCCCAGAATCCCCTGGTCAGCATGAAAACAGCGATTTTCTTTTTGAGTGGATCGTTTCATAGCCAAACTGATGAATATTTAACCTCCTCTGCTTGCCATTTGTTTATGTATTTAGCTCTCACTGTAATCCATAAAGCTGACTTCCCCATGCTTTGTATATTGATGATTGCAGTAGTTGGCCATATATTAGATCACATCAATGATTGAACTTGTACAGGAAGTAGTGTAGTACTGTATATTGGCCTTGCATCTGAGTTCAGAATTAAGAAAGAAAATACTGTATAGTTAAACTCTTCTGTTTTTGTGTACGCAGTATGCAAACTGCTGTTTCCTCAACCTCAAGCAACTCCTCCATCTCAGTCTCCACCGTGGCAAGTACAGAATCCTGTACAAATCACAGTAAAATATAGGAGGCATTTTGAATGCTGACGGAGATGGGTAAATGGTAGAAGTGTGCAGATTTGTGCTTCTGGATTACGAAAATCAAAATCTGCACATCTCTTCTGCATGGGACATCTTACTCGGTTGTATCCAGACTTGGTTGTACTTGGAGCAGAGCCACTGAAATAAGCGTTCAAAGCTTCACTCACAGAAGGTGCTTCCCCCTGAGTTTTAGGGATCCCCTATCCCTACACTAGACCCTCGGCTTATCCCGTTCAGCAGGATCCCTTAACCTTCTGTCCCGAATCTTCAGAGAGCAGGGTAGACTGCCATGGGGGAAGGGCCTCCACCAGTTCCACTGCAGACGTGTAAATCTGGATCCCACCAAGTATTGTTTCAGGAAATCTATTCCCTTGCACCAAACCCATTTCTCATTATGTCACTGCAACTCCTTCCATCCCCCTTTTCTCGTATTCTTCTCCCAGAGCTTAGAAACATTTGAACTACATTTCCTAGAATCCTCTTTTTGGACTACAGCTCCCAGGACATTACACTCAGAGGTATCACTGTGCTGAAGGCAGTCGCAGCATTTTTCTTACATCCTTTTTCTCTCTAGGTGAAGGGCGCTTCTGGGGACGGGTCTGACGCCGTAGTGATTCTGGAGAAAACGCCCTTCCAGGAGGAAAATGTTGCTGAGCTTCTGACGAAATACACAAAGCTCCAACTGCAGATGTCCAATGATATCTACAGCACTTACCGCCTGTTTCTGCCTCCAGAGCTGAACGGTAAGTGGTTAGCAAAGAGGACTTCCTTTTTAAAAATTGGTTTGCAGCCTTAACCTCTGTCCACCTCCTCCATTAGTATTCTTAATCTAATCCCATGAGGCACGCAAGCCTGGGGGATAGTGACTTTGTGGGATGAGTGGTGATTTGAATCCAGATATCCTCATTCCTCCTCCACAACTCCTCCATGCAGGCTTTGATTTCCAAGCATTGGTCAGTTTACAGCAGGCGTGGCCATAGCACAGCGCTTGAAATGCTGTCGGACTGCATTTCCCAGCATTACTCGGTGTTAATGCTTTGCCGGCTAGGGCGGGTGGCATCTGCTGACCAGCAGGATCTGGCGATCCTTACCGTGTCCTTCCTGGGTCCGTGCAGACTGAGAATGACCTCCCAGATTACAGATTTCAACTCGAGTACTGTGTATGCTGGTGGTTTGCTGGGGGAGAGAACCATGAATAGGTTCCGTCCCTCTTGTGTTTACTGAAATTTACCTGATGATTTTTGACCTTGAACGTTAAGACTTCACTCCAGGGCAGCCTCCAGGTTTTGAATTTTTAAAATAACATTCCAAATAGCAAGATAGCCTTAGGCAAGGCACTGTGCCTCCCGGCCACATTCAACTATTTTACAAGAGTTTTTTTTTCATGCTCTTTGTGTTTTTGTTGCATAGGGCAGACCTTACCCCAAGAGAGAGGGAGGCAGTTGCCTCAGGCGACAGATTCTGAATGTCATGGAAGGACAGCCGTTTGCTAGACACCAAATTTGTTCTTACATCTTTTTGCCGGTCGAGACTGGGAGTGTTATTTAATGATTTTTTTCCCCATCCTGTGTCCAAGCATCCTGGCCAGTTCTTGGAATGTTTGTCCTGGGATATAGACCTCATACAGGACAATAGAAGCATGGAAAGTATTGGAACAACTAGAAAACATTGTCTTAGTGTGACCGGGACCTCTTATTTTCAAGTGATGCTGCCCCGGCGGTCCATGCAGGCTGATTCAGAACACTTAGCTTTTTCGGAGGAGGGTCATAAGGCTCTTTCAGAGATAGCATCCTGGGCTGGGGGATTGGGGTGGGGGTAGGGCAACCTCCCAGAAGTCATTAGACAACAACACCCCCACCACGTGCTGTTTATAATTCATCTGTGTGCCCTGAGAGCATCTCGCAGCCTGGTTCTCCGCTCAGTGGACAGACCCCCATAGTGTTGGAAAGGATCTCTCGAACAGCTTCCTGTTTTTCTGTCTTTGCTAACAAGATCCCACAAGGTGGCATCCTTGGACTAGAATCCAGGAAGCCGTTTTTTTTAAGCGACTTTTGTTACTGAATCACAAAGGTACCAATTGCAATTCTTGGTGTTCGCTTTACTGCTTTTTGACTCTGTTGTAACATTTTGAAATCAGCCACATTTAAGGACCTCTTCTGTTTTCATATTAATCCTGGACCTTTTATTTTAGAGTGTACATATTATTGTGCACGCATGGACATACCCCCCCTTTTATTTAGTTGCTTAAATATATACCTAATATATAGATTTTTAAATTATATATGCAGATATGTACACACCCTTTTTATTGAGATGGTTATATCTACACAGGCTCAGAAAAATATGAGTTGACTTGTAGTTTTGTTAGCAAAATCCGCAGCCTTGTTTTGTACTGGCTTGTGGAACCGAGTTGTTACTCTTTGCCATTTTTTTTTCAGAAGGAGATCTTGACTGTTTCACTTGTTTGTTTGTTATTTTTCCATCCAATCTGAAGAAAGTCTATTTGCACCTGATTATTGTAAACGTCTCGGAGTGAGATCCTGAGATCTTGTACTTTGGCAAGTTGGCATATAGCAGTTGTAATAAGAGTAACAATAAAGATAGTGGCCAAAATCTTGCTGGTCACTGATGCCAGTATAGAAACAGTAGCATAAATCTCAGTGACAAATCGCTGCTGCTGGCATGAAACGAAGAAGACAAGTGGCAGCTCATGAATTAGTAGCAATTGGCCATTGATATATGCATTAGTTATCTGGCTGTGGAGCCAGAGGTTGGGAGTTTGATTTCCCACTATGCTTCCTTGACAAGAGCTGGACTCAATCCATAGGGTCCCTTCCAGCTCTGCAATTCAAAGGTTATTTACACTGGTGTAAATAATCTCTAGATTCTGGTCAATAACAACACTAACCATTTAGCTTTGTTTTGCCTCATTTTGTTCATACAATTATGGCTTGGCATCGGAACAGCTTTCAAGATAACCCTTGCTCTGAGGTTTACAATCTAAATTCAGTGGGGCTTCCTCTCCAGAAAGGACCCTTAGAATTGTAGCCTTCACTGTCTGTAACATTCATCTGGAGGCATGGTTACCCAGAGTGTGAGCAGGGGAGAAATCAAGCCAGCTCTGTCAGTGATGAAAGACAGGTACTTGGAGGGATTAAGACTAGTGTCTTAGAAGAGGGACTGCCAAAAATGAAACTCTTTTCCCCCCCTTTTGTTTATTTCAACTAGGACTTAATCTTGGTAGATGTTTCCAGGTTGAGGGCTTATTGCTGGAACGTGCATGCCTCAGGCTAGGTGGAAAGTCCCCAGAGTAACAACTAGCAATGCATCTCTGGGTAGATTGGACAGAGCCTGTAACTTTAATCAAGCCAGTTGCTGTGGCAAACAGCTTATTACTGAATCAGTCAGACCAGGGCAGTTTTTAGGTTCTTATCTGCAGTGTATCACAAGGCTAAAAAGAGTGCATTGTAGAATCCTTGGGAGCAATTTGCAAGTAGCTGTATTTTGTTTTTCTTGGAAACAGAGACATTACCGACGGCAGGAGGAGTAGCTTTCTGCTGTTTTATGACATCTAGTTTAAAAATTCAAGCCAGTCAAGTATTACTTGAGCTTCTATTCTTGCATTTTGAGTAGACCTGGGTGGCAACAACGTTAACAGAGTGGACCAAAGTAGCTCTACAGTGACTTTGGTTCTTTCCCAACAGAGAGACCCTTTTACATGATGGAACCCCTGCTTCGGTTTTTAACGGTGCTCATTGGTGACATTTTTGTACTACACAATGCTGGGAGGCTTCTGGGCCACTAACGACACTGGGGTCAGGGCTCACCATGTGTCAAAAACAATGGCTGGAGCCACATCTTAGGTAAGAATAGTCTTGCTGCATGGCCAGTGCCATGGAGACATCGCAGCCACCTTAATGCTGGCCAGCTAGTGATGTTATTTTTGCCTGGGTGGGGAAGATCTGGTGACTCCTTTTTCCCATCCATTAAAGTAGGATGGGTGAAACAGGTGGTTTTGCAGGTAATGACAGAATAATTGAGTTGGAAGGGTCATTGAATGGCCATTGAATCCAACCCCCCTGCTCAGTGCAGGAATCTAAATCAAAGTAGCACTGACAGGGGGTTGTCCTATTTTTCTCTTGAATGCCTGAAGCATACTTTCTGAAGTTATCTGAAGCATGTATTTCCTGCCCTGAATTCAGGCATCTTTTGTGTGAGGAACAGTAGGTAGGTGGTGCGGGTTTGATTCTTCAGTTGAACGGTCGTATATTACAGTATTTTTACAAGAGATAGAGGGAGGGAAAGATCTCCATCTTAAATCCCCAAAACTTGATGCCAGCTGGAAGCCCATTACAGAGTTTAATAGGCTGTAGGACAGTCTAAAGCAAGTCATTTAACCATTATTTCTATTCTGAAGCTGGTATAAAATTGTGAAGCAGGTTGACTCTTACAAGTAGAATCTGGACTGTGTGTTCTCTGAGATGCTCTCTTTCTGCTTCATTTCCTTGTGTCCTCAGTCCTTCTAAATCAGAGGTCAGCAATTTGTGCCCTTCCATAAATTGCTGGGCTAGAACTCTCTCGTCATTTCTCAGCACTGATTATCTTGACGAGTGCTGGAGACATCAAGCAGTCCAACAACATCTGGAGCGCCACGGGTTCTCCACTCCTCTTGAATTCATCAGGAGGGCTTCTTAAGGAGAACCCCAGGAAAATCAAAAGCCTGAGGAAACTCTTCTCCAGCAAAAACAAAACAAAACAACAACAACAAAAACCTTGAATGGATCGGGAGCTCTGCCTTTGAAGCTTCTTCAGTAGAAAGAACAGTTAATAACTAGAACAAGAAAATCGGCTTATCAATTTGGAGAAAAGGTTTGGCTAATAAACTTGCTGATTCCAGCCAAAAGCATTATAGTCAATAATGCTCGCTCATAAAGTTAACAAGATGTACATTGATTTGATATTGATTCAAGGTGTGTATACCATCATCTTCCAAGAGATGGGAAGCAGCTATGCAAATAGCATGCTTTAAATAGTAGGTCAGAATGCACACTGCAGCAGGCTGGGATAGTTTAATGGTTAATGCAGGGACAGAAAACATTTATTGTTGGATTGCAAATCCCATCTGTTGTAGTTAGCATAGAACATGAGGAGGAATGATGGAAGTTGCAGTCTACTAACAACCGGAGAAGTACATTTTCCCTATTCATAGTCTGGGCAGTCAGACTAAGTTCGTGGAGACCCAGATTCAAATCCATCCTCAGCAGTGAAGCTTACAGCCTGTCTTTCTACTGGTTATGATTAAAGATGGGGGTATTTTTATTTGAATACGAATATGCCCAGACAAGTGGAAATAACTAGGGTCCGACCCCATGGGGCCAGACTGTCCACCCACAATTTTGCCACTGCCACCGGCTCCGCAGAGGCTTCCTATCGTGCTGTTCTCCACAATGGATTAGCCACTCTCCGTCCTAGCAGAGAAGCTCATCATCCTATCTCCTGCCAAGACTGGGTAATCGATTCTGGCGTGATAGGAAGGTCCAACAATCTCGCGTCAGCGGCGAAATCATGAGTGGACAGTATATCATGCGTGGCCGGACCCTCATTAATTCCACCAGTATGGGGATATTCGTATACGAATCTCTACTTATGATCTCTCAGCATAATGTATCTTACAAGACTGTTCTGGGAATAAAATGGGTGGTACTTGAAGGAGAGGCAGAATATAAGTGTAATGAATAAAGAA